TTTTGTTTTTTTTTTTTTTTTTTTTTTTTTGGTACCAGGGATCAAACTTGGGTCCTTGTGCTGTCAAGACAGGCAGTGGAACCCCTGAGCTAAATCCCCAGTCCTTACCCAGATCCTATTATGAGATGGAGGCTATGCCTTGGGTATAATGTCACCAATAATACTAAGACCATGACTGTCCTGGCCTCAGCTTGTGGGGTAGGAATTCTACACCAGAAGAGGCAGGTCTAGGAGATCTCTCAGGCTGTTACTAAGAGAGAAATACAACACTATTCCTATCTCATGTAGCAGAGCTGTAGCTCAAAAGAATTTTCCTGAGAGAGGCAGGTCATAGAATAGAGGGCTCCATTTTTTTTCCACAATAGAACTGATTTCATTTGCAATGGAGTATGGAAGTTCAAGTGTAGGTTGAATAACAACCTAGAGGGAACTAGGGGAAAACAGAGCAGGAAAAAAAAACCTCATGCATGGGTTCAGAAGAAATTCTCTCCCTCAGTGGTGGGATGGAATCAAGGACCTTGTACATACTAGACAAGTACTCTACCACTGAGCTATATAACCCAGCCCCAGAAAAATATCAAACACTGATCTTGGGAAACATCAATCCCTTCAAAGGAGTTTTAATTTGGGCCAGTTTGTAGAATGATTTATGTCACAGGACATCATTAAAAACAAAATAATCAAGCATCAACTAGTGGAGCTTAAAGATGGTGTGATCAGGGAAAGAGAAATCTAAAGAGAGCCCTGTTAGAATCATTGTCATCCTTGGGTGATTATGGGCATATATAAAGCTGTGCCTCAAAGGAGCAACACTGGATGCTTCACATTGCAGATTAGGGCTGGGGACTGAATAAACAATTTCAGTAGAATAATTCAGCCTGTCACTAAAGAAAACAAGCAAATAGTAATAAAGAGCCTTAAGGGTGGGTACAATATATTACCTAAAATGTCCAGTTTAAAAAATGAGATAGTCAAAGAAATAGGAAAGTATGACTCAAACACTAATAAAAAAGTGTGCAACAGAAACTGTATGAAAGCAACCAGATGTTGACATTAATAGGCACGGACTTCAAATTAGCTATGTAAATGTATTTTAATCCCCCTCAAAATGACTAAAGATGTAAAGGAAGACACAATGACAATGCCTTGTTAAACAGGATATCGATAAAAAAGGAAATATAAAAAGAACCAAATGGAAATTTTACTGATGAAAAGGACAGTACCTGAAATACACTAAGGGCTGCAAAAGAAGATTTAAACGAATAGAAGAATCAGTGAACTTGAAATAGATCAATAGAGATTATGCAACAAAGAACAGATATAATAAGAGATGAAGAAAACGAATAAAAGCCTCAGAAAAATATGGGACACCATTAAGCAATTTAATGTACATGTAATGATAGTATTAGATTAGAAGGACAGGAGGCAAAAAAAGATAGCAGAATGGGGCTGGGGATTTAGCTCAGCGGTTCGGCGGCCTGCCTTGCAAGCGCAAGGACCTGAGTTCAATCCCCGGTACCAAAAAAAAAAAAGATAGCAGAAAAAATATTTGAAAAACTCCCCAAACTTACTGGAAAACATTAACTTGTATATTCAGGAAACTGTACAAACTCCAAATAGGATAAACACAGAGAGACCCATAAACACATATATCACAGTGAAAATGCTAAAAACCAAAGACAAGGAGAAAATCTTGAAAAAAGTAAGGGAAACAAAGAATCTCATCACTTAGAAGAGAACCTCAGTAAGATTAAGGGCTGGCACTTCTCACAGGAAACAATGGCACTCAGAGGGCATTTAACATATTTAAAGTGCTCTGTAGTAAATGGTTGCATATATACGTGCATACATTAAAACTCACTGAATTGTGTAATAGTACTTAAGTAAGTGAAATGTATAATATATGAATTCTATTTAAAAAAAGATGTTACCATAACAAAATGCTTTCCTTCAAAAAGTAATGCTTTTGCTGGACATGGTGGTGCATGCCTTTAATCCTAGCACTTCGAAGGTTGAGGCAGGAGGATTGCCATGAGTTTGAGGCCAGCCTAGGAAACACAGTGAGTTTAAGACCTGCCTGAATTACATAGGGAGACTCTCTCAAAAAAAAAAAAAAAGCAAAGTGATTAAAAGTCACAATGAATATAGAAGTTTAAACAGAAATAAAACATATATTTTAGCTATTCTCTATTGAGTACACACATTTACCCACAACAGCACTTCATTTGTCCAGTATCGAAGGCAGTCTACATATGTAAACTTTTTATACGTCATGGCTAAACATTTAAAATCCTATTACTAAGGTTAGTTTTTCTAAAACATCTATTTTAGTTTTCTAATAATGTGGCATAACAAATTATCACAAACCTAGTGACTTAAAACAACACAAATTTATTTTAAGTCTGATACAGATCTCACTGGGCTTAAATTAAGATGTTAGCAAGGCTGTGTTCCTTTCTGGGAGATCTAAGGAGAATCCATTTCCTTGCCTACTCTAGTTTCTAGAGCACACTTCTACTCCCTGAGTCCTAGCCATCTTCCTGCAGTATCAAAGCTAGCAATACTGCCTATCTCTAGGATTTTGCTTCTGTCATAACATCTAATTCTCAGATTTTTTTCTTCTGTTTCCTTCTTCCACTTTTAAAGATAAATATAAAATAATGAAAGCATCAGAAGCTAGAGAAAATATGGAGAAATTATCATCCACACATTGTTAGTAGGAATGTAAAACAGTGCAGCTATTCTAGAAAACAACTTGGTCATTTCTTAAACACACATGCAATTAACATGTAACTTAGCAACTGCACTCCCGGGCATATATCCCAGAGAAGTGAAAATTTACATTTATATGTGTTTATAGTAGCTTTATTCACAACAGCTCCAAACTAGAAACAACAAAGATGTCTTTCAACAGATGAATTGTTAACCTGTAGTATATTTAGCCTGTAGAATACTACTCAGTAATAAAAAGGAACAATGTACT